TCACCATAATTATCGATGCATCAATCCACTGGGACGCCACTGGAAATATTATTTTGAATCTAGTTTCACTGAAAGAAGTTCCATGTTACTACCAATAGCAAAACCACAAAGTTTTATTGACATTGATGAAAAAACATTCGAGTAATGACCGCATTTCATGAATATACACCCTGATACTTCAGTTATTATAATGATGCAATGCTCATGAAATACGAGGGATGATTGTAGGTACACTTTATCCATTGGCGTGCGATGTTGCGAGAGGGGTGAACATGTTTTTTTTGTATGGGGAACAGGGTATTCAGGGGCTATTCCGGATGAAAAAATAATAAGATTGGGAAAAAAATGTCTCAAACAACCCTTCATTTTGATTTACGACATCTCATGACCTGAATTCACAGAAAAAATTCAATTTCTATTCATTCATTCAGGAAAAGCGTCACACTATATACATAAGATATCCTGAGTTTACATTCGATGAGTATACGGTTTGTAGTTGTTTATGCAAGCAGAACTGTTTATAACCCTCAAAGAATTGGTGATTATTCGTGAGATTCACGAAGTGGGCGACATCTAGGTTCCATAAAACGAACTTCAAACTGGGGGAAAACAAACTGTTGTCTATGGATAAAGTGCATAGACTACATTGCATTCAGCTTGCTGCAGCTGTGGTCAAACTTGTCAATGACATAAAGTGTTGCCACTGTTGGTAGTGATGATGGTTGAGTTGGTTATTTTCTTTACATCATTACATTGTTCAGTGAACACTGAATAACGGGTGAACAATTGGGGATAATTCAAACAATTCAAACTAATTATGAAGAGCGAATCAATTGACATATAAAAGAATAGCTACAACATGTTTACAATACCCAGATTGTCCTGCTTTGCATGAACAAATACAAATCCATTGTTCTACAGGAGTTTCTCTGGACCCCCAACTTCAATTTTACTTCATGTGGGGAAGATTTCATCGCCGAAGTTTGTAGACAAAGTGCAAAAATGTGCCTTTTGTTGAAGTCTTCTGCCTCACACAAAATCACATGATTCACACGGAGAACTGCTTCTCCTTCTACTACTGGTCGGCTTTTTCCATCTGAATAGAGAAAAATATTTGCCAAAAGAACATCTACAACATCAGGCATTATTAGCGTTTTCGATCGAATTAACTTATCACTCTTATCAGTACACAGTACACCAAGCTAATGGCACTAATGGGATTGAGTGAGGATTGAGTTTGTTTTCCCCCAGTTTTGACGTGGGTTTGACATGGAACGATGAAAACCGAGCGCCACCTAGTAACATTGATTCCCGCGAATAGTGAAATAATCTATCAGAACAAAACAGCAACATTATTATCATTAGGGCTATCAAACATGCTTGTTTCTTCAATCTATTTAAATGTTTTATTAGGACGATGATCAGTTTGGAACGAAGTTAAAAGCCGTTACATAAACTAGAATATCTTTTGTTGAAATTTTAGGTGAAGTTTTTGTTTCCTCATCATATTCCAACACAACCATTATAATTAGATTGAAGTATCAAAGTTCGGAGGCTTCATAGGTCCTCGAAATTCGATTCAAGTCAATCTACTTGATTTCTCCAACTCGAGACAAAGAGCTTTTCCTTACGCTTCAGATACATTCTTTACATGTACCTTCCTCATAAAGGAAGCAATAAAGACAATTAAATTGATAAGTGTATCTTAATGGCTTTTTATATAACAAGTTGCAAAATGGTTGTGCTAATTAATTGCGTCTTCAGAATTCAAGAGCGTGTTTCTGTCGTCAAACAAGAAGGGACATTTATACAAATGTATTTCCGTATTTTCGTCATTTTCGAGATACAGGGCGATGAACTTGATATGAAAATTGCAAAATTCTGCTAATATCAAAGAGAATGATTACAAAATTGTCTCTCAATGATTCATTTCATTCATAATATTCTATATGAATTCCATACTAGTGTTTCTATAATCACAATTCATAAACATTTGGAATATCGACTGTTAGCATCTAGCAACTAGATGCGCTACTGCTCAATGGAATGTCCTTAGATCAGAGCCTATGACAGACGTGTGTGAAGACTGGTTCATATAGTATTCGGCAGGCAGCCGAGTTGTGAGCAAGTGTAACCCTTGTCCATGTCATTTGTGCTCGTGTTTATTATATCATGACGATAATATAACATGGACAAAGACTCGCTATATTAAAATGAAATCACAGTCACTTTATTACATTCCCTCTCTATCGGTATCCTTGGTACACAATAACCTCCGAACAACAAACCCACTAAAACGAAATGAGCGTCCCTTCACAGAAATCATCGAGAATATATTGTTAGCAACTCATACGATTTTAGTCTTTTCATCAGAGTTCATGAACATCATAATTAGATGATGTATGTTGTTTGTAAATTCTTCGAATTTTCCAAATATGAATCGTTCGATCGGAGTTCATGAATACTAATTTAATTTTCGAGCATTCCAACAAGAATATTCAGCTCAGTGAATAATGCATATGAATCCCGTATGAAATGGATGAATATCTGTACAGTATGTTTACCATTAATGAATCGATGGATGGAATCAGCCCTTGCTATGACATGTATACCTAATTGGTTAAAGGAGCATCAGAATCAACAAGTCACATCAGATAAAGTACACAGCAACATCATAATATTGAATTGAATCTTTCATTACTACATGGGTATAGTCTCATAATTAACCATTCATGAGTATAGACCCTATTTCATGTTATATGAAGATTTCTTCAGTACACACTGGAAAGTTACGAAGCCATCTGTATGATTTGTCAATCCTAGGATGTGAGTGAAGTAATAAAACAGTTCATAAACAGTCGACAATGACATTCTGTACACCCTTCATGATAATGTGATAGTATGAATGAAGTGTCTCGTTGTTTCAAGGAAGCTTTGAAAATTGAATATTCTCACGACTCATTCTCTTCTAGATGATGATGATGATGATGATTACAGAACACCTGTTTATTATTGCCTGTATTAGCCAACGAATAAAGATTTAGAGGAACAGGAGCTACAATAAAAGCCCCCCATAACGTGAAAGTCTCGGTGAAAGTAGAGAATATGCTGGAGGGATTATGTGCCTATCATAAGCAGGAACTTTATTCATTTCATCCATTGTATGGAGTTGTCTGCTGGGAATGTCATGATAGAACAGGAATCATATTTGAATATTACAGTCGAATAAATTACAACGAAAAGTAAACTCGCAAATGTTTCATCAAATTTGAATCGATAATACTTTCGATTTCCATAACTGATTCCCAATTTCTTACTAATTCGAAAATACTTGTTTTATTGATTGACAAATAACTACTACAGGATGATAATATATATAATAATGGGCAATATCACAATATTTTCCTCGACATATGGTTACAGATTTTCAGGAAGTATCATGTCCTTTGATGGAATATGATTTTTTCTGGGAAAATAAGCGCTTATACAGTGGCAGTTACTAATACAAATAATAAGCATGTTCAATATATTGTATTGAATATAGGATGTCCTTCAGAATACGATAAAATCACTTGAATTGGAATAAAGTGACGAACCTATAGTGTTATCACGAACCAAGAAAGTTTGGAGAACTTCGAAGGGATTCGGAATATTTTTTCAGTAGTCCAGGGTGGAGTAGCATGTTTGAATAAATTGTTTTCGAAATTTTCAATGGAGATGAAGATTTCATCATACATGATTCTCAAAACCAAAACAATCAGAATAGATATGTTGGAAGATCAAACGATGATAATTAGATCAGAGAATGACCTGAATTCAAAAGACAACACTGATGTTACTTTCTTGAGAAGCAGATTTGGGCACGAATTAAATCTGAATATATTTGCTATAACTTTAGTTCCAACGATTTTTCTGATTTTCCTTATTATAATATGAGGCCAAACTCGAAATATGGAATATATTTTCCGCCACCAGGCACATTTTTCTTGAACTAATGAACAAAATACCACGAAATTTCGTTGAATAACTTTCGATTGGTATTCACCATCAATAGCAACGGTAATTACACCGACTATTGAATTTTTCCTAACGAATAATTATACCATTTGCATGATTGAATATATGATGAAACTCAGGAGCTGTTCAGGTGTAAAGTATATAGTTTATTGTTGAGAATTGAATGCCGAGTTATTATGAGACAGTTTTCGCGGTAAAAGTAGTAGGTACTGAATAAAATGCCCAGCATAGAATGGATATGGAAGACTTTGTTCGAATAGTGGAAACAAACATTATATCAGGAATATCTGGGTTTTCGCTTTTCTAGAGATTATTCAAGCTCGAGGTTTGGCAGCGTTGAATTCAACCAGGTTATCGGTTCCTTAGGCTACAATTTCAGCAAGATTGTTATCGACATCAGCGTTGAATTGCTTTCTTCGTGTGGTCCTCAAAATTCATCATTGACGAAATTGGAGTATTCTCAACTGTCCTTGTTAATACTAAGTGTGTTGATTTATTCTGAACTCTGTGACTTCATCATGAAATTCGTATAGATTCTACTCTATGGAGATCATGCATTGAAAAACAATCAAATTTCAGTAAGAGGACTGCTACTTTCGAGAAAAACCATTATTGTGTGACATATATTTGCGATTACAGAAAAAGTTGGACAACATTTTGATAGTATCTTATCCTGAAGTGCTGCAACAAACGGCTATCCGGGACCTAAAGGAAAGTGGGAATCGGATTCAATAATGACTCAAAATTGAATCTCGATATCAAGTTCCGATTGTTGACCAGTTTATATCGGAAAAACAAATATTTTCCAATCCTGATTCACCAATCAACTCGATATTTCCAAAGCCTTCTGAATATAAGAAAACTTCACGAACTATAAGATTTTCACAAAACACAACATGTTTTGCTAACATTGTATATATAGCTTCTTCCATTGAGTGATCGAATCATTGAAGAGACTGCTGAAGAAATATAATGAGAGAACAATGAACTCCTCCCCTCTGAAGATAGGTAAAGTGATTTTAATTTCTCTGCTGACTTACATTATCATAAATAAGATCGGATTATATTCTGTTTCATTAAAACGGTTTCTAGCTGGCTTAAAGATGTTCATCGTCTTGATAAAAAGAGGATGCGGAAACATATGAAAGATATGATTCATGGTGCCTATATAATGAAAGTTCCGTGAAGAAGACAACCACAAAAGTTGGGAACTTTCGCTATGGAGAGTTATGAAAATATGATAAAGGTGAGTGGAGGTCCAAATAGACCATATACGATAAAAGTTCTGGATCGATGGGACATTTCTCTTTTTTATACTGCTTCCATCTGTATTTCTCACCATTCATATAGTGAACTATTACAGAATAGATCTGATTTATGATCATTATATTATTGAGTTTAGATGATTTGAATTTGGAATGTGGTTTATCTCTTGGATTTGAGTTCAGAAGGCACTTTGTTCATTTCAAACAAATTGATATGATGAAATATTATTTCCAGTCACTGGATGAAATCAATTTCATCAGTGGAAACAATCAACATTATCACAATAAGAGTTTAATCATCTTGATTGTTTTCTCTTTTGGAGCGCACGAAAGGGTATCTATATAATGGGAGGATAGGGAGAGGAGGAGCTAGCTATTGAATTTTTTACATTTTGGAGATTATAAGTTCTTGGGAATACTTTCATTGGCGAAGAATTCCGAAACTTTGCCGTTCAATAGACAAACGAGCTTCGGTAAAAAGTAGTTCGATATATCTCAAGGTTGTCGACGAAAGGATGTGCAGACTGGGCTTGTCAAATTCGTCCGACTGGTATTGCTAGTAATAGGATGGCAGCATAGATTTCTGGAAAACATTTTCCGTGGTGTTCTAATTTTGTCAAAGAATTTGTCAAAGATTATGGCATTACTCGACAGGTATGAATGGCTCTTCTTTGAATGGGATCTAAGAGCATCAGCGTATGATCGGGTGCTGAACCCCATATGTTGAAACAGTATTCTAAATTAGGCCGTACCTGTGCTTTGTAGATCAGGAGAAGCTGTTGAGGTGTTAAATAGCTCTCCGGGTGTAATAAATGTCAGAGTTTTTGTGTCAACAGGTAGCAGACATTGGGATATCAGGCATTATTCTGAGTTCCGCCTTTCTAGAAAAAATATATGGAAGCTTGAGTTTTGGTGGCATCTCAGGTTCCTGAGAAGAAATGGAAATTCTGGGAAAGAAAGCAGTACTCACGATCGTTGATATCAAGTAGGAACAATGTTGATGCCAGAATCGATCCTTATGGAACGCCGGAATTAATGGCTATAGTATCAGGTTGTTTACATTGAGTTCATTGGGTATCAGACGATACTCCTTTCACCACCACATGAAAAGATCTACCTAAAAGGAAACTCGATATGATATATTTCTCAATCATCGAATAGAAATACTGAATATAATAAAATCATTAATCAATGGACTATTCATGTCAAAATTATTATCCATTTGATGAATAGATGATCTTTCAAGCGCTTTCTTGATTCGGAATATTGATACAATGACAAACATCACATACATACATAAAATTTATTTCTATATCTACACATTTGATGTATATCAAGAGCAAATTCTAGATATTTTGCATTAACAAACATGGTTCATTCAATGAAAAACACTTCGTTTAAATTTCAAGTCGGAAGTCGAATTGCCGGAATATAAATTCGACCAGTATGAAATAGACGTAAACAAATATCTCTTCCTCAGAATGAGAATAAATAGCTCGAATAAAGGAGATCGAGAATGTGATAGCAGCTCAAGGCTAATACATTACATTTAGAGTCGAGTAAGGATGCACATTATCTCGTCCCAGGAGAATGTAAACTCACTCGCTCGCTTTTCTTGCAACATACGTTCAAAAATGATGAGCTTTTTCACTTTGACTTCGTACAAGTATGATTGTTCCGAGATGAGTTTTGTTAGCCGAAGTTTCCAGGGAATATTAATTGTTGTTGGTAGTCGGTACATTAAGAAACTTCTGTGCGACATAATGAACTAAATTGGGAATACTTAGTGCACTGACAAACTTCCATCTTCCATTCGTCTTCCCGGAACCTTTAATATGCCATGTAACCAAACTTCCAGCAGTGGGGTTGGCACTTGTTGGAAATTAATTGCACCCAATAATTATTTTTCAATAAATCAAATATTATTTATAGCTCATTGAAAAAAGAACGATGAGAATCCTCTCGTAGAAAAAATTCAAGTAGTCGGTTTCTTGATTGATTGATTGATAGCAGAATGATCAGTCAGGGTTCGAAGCCCAAAACACTGCAGCCTTTGGGCCTATTGTATTCCTGATCATGCTGTTGACTTAGGTGAACAAGTTCGCTACCTTGATAAGCCTCTCCACCAAATCATTCGCTGGAAAAGCCTCTTGAGTGTTTACTGCTCCCAGAAGGTTGTATCTCCAACGCGATTTTGGAGGTGCTGAATCCGAATCATAAGTTGAGAAACAAAATTTCCTGGAGCGATTCGAGAAATTCTCAGAAAACATGAACTTTCTCGAGCTTTTGGTCCGTGACTCGGAAATTATACATTTCATCGAAAAGAACATTCTGATACATATACGCAAGGGGGCGTGATACGAGGTATGATTCAACTTCGGAATTGAATATGACCAAACCATAAAACATACCACAACAAAACAATAATCAACTGCTATACTGTTATCTAGGTAAAAACCACTGATGCTTACCTGATAGGTCTTATATAAAACTTATAATCAAGATTCGAAACATTGGAAAATCAGAAACACGTCAAAAATTGTGTGAGTTCAATCCTAGAAAGTCACGAATTCACTATCGTCTTTTTATTTACCTTTGCCCAGGTTAGCAGGTGCTCGAGCAGGTGACATTCCTGGGAAGTTTTCTTCAGGTCAGTAAAAGACCACGGTGACTTCACAGTTGTTACAAAATCAGTGCTTCAGAAATCATCATCATTCAGAAGGGTACATTCAGATCTAGATAATGATTTTTAATAGAAGAATTCTGATGCAAGTTATGAAGAATACGTTTTGATCTTATCATAGTATCAATATTCAATATCTATTGGGTTTCATCCGAAAGCTAGTCGTATTCTGGGTGAAACCAGAATGGGCCATTTCGATTGACTCTCATCCATATCTTTCCATAAACGGAGAAGATACAGGCATGTCTCTACTGCGCCAAAAACCATCATCATCCTATATCACTATAGTGGGACAACCTACATCAAATGATCTCAGGAGATATTCAATTCGAAATGTTTCACCAGAAAAAATAAGACCTTATATTAGGGAATTCAAGATTCGAAGAAACAAGCTAATTAAGGATATTCCAAATTCATTCTATGCTCTCACTAATGTATAAATCATGATCAATCTTGAAGGAAGAAGAGAGGTGCTGCCCAATCAATGTGTAATATGGATTATGAAATATAATGATTCCCCATTCGTTATCGTCAAATTTCATGTTCCTCTCGATGTAACTGACAATCTCCTCCTTCCAAATATAATTCAACAATACATGTTGCACATGCATTCAACGAAAATGCATAAGAGCATTTGAATACTCATTGTCAGGATTCTATGCCACATACTTGAGCCTGCCGAAATTCCAAGTTTGAGGCTTATGAAAGCATCAAATTACCATCCTCAAACAATGTCACTATCGATGGCAGCAGCTTTTCTATAAGTACATACGTGCAAAGTGATGTTGACTCCTTTTGTGAAAGGATTCGGATGGAACGTTGCATTCAATCAAAGGAATTTGAATTGTCTTCGCAAGCGTCACTATCAAGAACAATGGAGTCGTTTGAAGTGGTTAGGGAGTATTTTGTGTTTGATTATTATAATACTTATCAGGGCCATGGGAACCAAATTTAATTAAATTCTTCGAGGAGCTATTGTCTTTCTCTGTTGCATTCTATATTTCTAGTAGAAGAAATCAGTTCCATATACTCCGCCAGATTAACGAATTATCGAACTCCAAGTTGCGTGCTCCGACTAGGCCTGTTGGTGAAACTTTTTAATACTGTTCGAACGACCGAGGGTTTATACGTTTTGGGATTGAATCGCAGCCAAGTTAGAGCCTCACTGGGGCATTATCTTTGTCGCCAGGGAGCTCATAAAATAATTTCGTATTTCGCTATTTAGCTATCGGGGACGAACGAACTTGGGTGGGGAATGGAAGATGTGAGAGCGTTGAGCGGCATAACGGATTCTGACCGACAATAAATTGTTATTTATACAACAAGAATATAAAACGAGTCTTTTTGTACATGCGAGAAGATTTCATAACGAGCCGCGAGGCAAGTGGAGGCATTCCTCAAAAGAGAAAGTTCCGACTATAAGCCAAATGTTCTCGTGAGAGAAGAAGTAACTCAATTTTTGCAAAATGCTGCGGATCGAAATTGCTATGAGTATAGGATCGTCAGGAGCCTATCGCCAGGACGAACCTTCTGAAATGACAATGAAAGAATTTTTTCTACAACTAGCTATAGAACTTACCATTATTCACTTCTTATCAGAAGGTAAACTGTGTTTTTTTTAACAATTTTCTTTTCTTCGATTTATATTTATATAACTACTGAAAAGGAAGATTCCCAGATATAATTATGAACATAAAAAAATGGATATATATATATATATATATAATAATATGAAGAAATACATTGAAAATTCGCATTCTCTATGTCATGATATCAATATTTTTCAGTTAATTCACAGAAAACGACTACTTTCCTGGCATACACGATAAGAATTCGAAATCAAAATCCTGTGAAGTAGAGAATTTGTATTCTTCTTCATATAATGATATGCGCATAATATCATTCTGAAGATTCAACATAAAACAAGTACTTTCATGGCTATTTGCCACGTCGAACATTGAACTATATCTGTTGAACATTCAAAGAGAGAGCATGAAAAATAAAAATTCCCTGAAATTGACAATTGACATCATCTCTCAAATCGGATAAAATAATATGAT